CCTGACTGATACGACATCACTGACCGAGTTAATCCGACAGGAGAAATCCGTTAACTGCCTGAAGTGAACATACTTTCGCCTTTCGGTCTGTTTTTGTTTGTAAATGCGTGAGGTTAGATGCCCATTTTCCTGTCGTAGTGCATCTTCCCCTTGGTATTATGCAACTCGACCATCTGCGGTGTAGTGAGTGGTAGGGATTGATAATTAAAGTGATTTAAGAAGACCCCCGAGTAGATGTGTGATGGTTAGGTTAGGTTAAACCCATTTTAGAACCAGAACAGGTTCGTCCTTCTAGTTTTGTAGAATAATACGTCATGAAATTATATACACACATTGTTTGTTATTTTTGTCTTAGAATAAACTCCTCTACATTGTCATTACAGTCAGAAGAACACAGAGTTACCGGAATGTTTCTTGGTCCAATTTTTTCTAAGTGTTGGTTTATTCAATAAAACAGAACACACGCGAGAGATGTTTTCGTATTATACAAACAGCTTCGGAATTTATTTTCAACCATGTCTTGCCCGATAGCAAACTATTTCTGATAACCCCTTCTCTTACTCAGTATACGAGGTGTGATCGGAAAGTTTCAAGACTGTGTCAATAGAGGGCGAACCGGATGTAGTACGAGCTTCTGCCGCTAGGGGGTGCGGCCTACATTCATAGTGAATCAGTGTGCCAGCCGGCATCATCGAATTAGCATTTGTTTCTTAGTTACGGGCGTTTTGGTAGTGCATTACACCGACCCTCCTGCGATTTCGGAATGGCGTGTGCATCAAATTTTGCCAAAGACTCGCCAAAACGGCTACGGAAACCTATGAAATCCTAAAGCAAGCATTTGGGGAGTCCGCAAACTTTGGTGTGGCATTGCTGGGCTCGTTGTGTTCACTCCCAGGGGAACTACTTCGAGGGTGATGGATGAATTTAATACCTGAGATAAGTGTACGGGTTTTTATAGGCGCAGTCTTGAAACTTTCCGATCGCACCTCGTATCGTCTGAGAACTATTCGTGAATGTCCTTGTTACTATGGAAACAGTGTCGCCATTTGAAGACCCCTGTTCTGAGAAAATTCATTCTCCTTCAAAATCTCTCTTTAAGTTCTGTTACAATATTAAGAACTCGTAACAATATATTATTTTAATACTAGTAAAACAAGTGACTCTACTTAAGTCAGAGACATTTTAAGTGCAGATTTTACATCACGTCGTATATTTTGGATGTAATTAATAAGTGAATTAACAATTTTTGTATGAACTTCATAGCTGCTTGCTGAAGATATGGATTGAGTCTCTGACGACGACCGGAAATGGTCGAGACCTGTGAGGTCGTTAGCAACATTAATAGTTTAGCTGATGGTTTGGCATTGACTTCACATGAACCATTTGTAAACGAAATATTAAGTTTCAAACAAAAAAAAGTGTCAAAATTACGAATAACTTTTAAAGACATGGACAGAACAATTATATCGAATTAAAGCCAAGACCTTGTCCATAACATGTGGAAGTTATTCATTATGTAATTTTCAACATTCTTTTTCATCTCCCAAGGATTCGAATGTTACCCACTACACGTTTGTAGTATACTTAAATCCAAATATCAGGAAGTTAGGTATGTGAGAGTCGATGTTCTCACGGCAGTGAAGGTGTTGATGTTGGCCCTCAAGATGGAGACAGTATGTTCCTCCTACACGTTATGTGCCTACGAGTTCACACTAACATCGGCAAATTGGTCAGCCATGTAGGATATTCCGCCCTGATGATGGTGGCAGTGCACACCTCCGAAACGTCGGTCAACTTTTATTCGACTACGTGCGGAAATATCCCAGGAGGCTGTCAACTTCATACTCGCCTCCGTGAGAAACTGAAATCTCACAAGTTCAAAAATCTTTGCGTAGGATAACCATTTTGCGAGTTACGCACGTAGGCCTTCATGTAAAGTGTTTGTTAAAAACAAGTAAAATTGTCCCCACTACACGCCATGTAGGCGCTTGGGGAGAGAGTTAGTATAGCTCCTACTAATTCTTAACCTCGGCACTAGATGGGGTGAGTGGTCAACGTCATGTCCCAACCGCGCTTTATCTCCGGGAAAGGACCCCGGTACCCATTGGATAGGAGGCTGGGTGGACCCCAGTGCCCCGGTCCGGACGCATGGGCTAGAGGAAAAATCCTATGATGTCCGATTTTGATAAGAATTTAGATTTAGCAAAACTTCGCAATATGAAATTGAATTAAAGTATTCTCAATATTAAAATATTTTAATGCAATATTCAGCTGGCTGAGGGTTGGGTCCAGTGGCAGCCAGTGTCATATCGCATTTTATTTATTTAGTGTTCTGTCTGACGACAGGTCCATATGAACAGGATCCTTCCATCCTTTTCTCGGACTGGGACCTGTTCATATACGTTCTTGGCAGATGATCCAGAAGTGGTTTGCCATTGCCTTCTTCTGTGTGTGAATGGAGTAATTGAAACCGGGGAAGCCCCCGGAGGAAAACTCCGTGTTGCCTAGACCACGGCCTTGCCCAACACAAGTTATAAATTCGGGCACCACCGGGAATCGAACCCGAGACCCCAGGATTACAAGGCCAGCGTTCTAACCGCTAGACCACCGTGGCTACTGTCTTACGTTTATGAAAACACAAATGGCTGATGCCCCTTTTCAAGGACGTGATTTGTAACTCCACGCAGTATCGTTAAATGTGATTAGACCTGGAATGAGGAACAAATATTCGCAAAAATATTCTTGAAAACTGTACCGCTAACATAAGTGGCCTCTTTCCTCGTCCTGGTGTGCATGTACACTTGTGTTTGAATAACACATCCGGGGGCGAGAGCTTTTAATGGGGAGGGGTGAGGGGTAGGAAAGGATTCTTTCAAAATAAAACAACATTTGAAGGTCACGAAGACCTGCGTCACTGGTGACATCAATTTTTCAGTTAAGTGACGTCACGAACCGTGAACATTAAAATTCGTAGGTCTATTATTGGAGTTGCTATGGGAACGGGCAGGTGGGGCCCTGTGCTTTTGTGTGTGGGAGGATGTCAACACGTCATGATGCAGTTGGGGCGTGCAGATACCAGCGCCATCTGCATTTGTCTGTCGTCAGATAACAAAATGAACTGCTTCAGAGGAACGTCGCTCACGTGCATTGAGTTGCTCTATTGTCTGAAAGTAGGAAATCAGTTGACCCCAAATCCTTTCTCCACTTAGAAATACTTCTACAATTATTTTTGCTCGCCGACTAAACGAATTTTTTTAAGCGGGGAGTTACTAGCTCCCCGCTCAAACCCCACGCTGGGGTAACACCCCTTGTCGGCTATCCGAAGCTACCCTCCAGCCTCAATATGACGACACGTCATACCGCGGTAACGAGGGACAAACATAGGATTAATTAATCTCAGGCGCGAATCTTCAGAAAGCAACCAGCTGGAAATCCTTAAATTATTCATTAAAGTTGGGGAACTGCTAGACAAAGATTAGATTATTCGAAATTGTCAACTGAGTTTCTGTAAACTAAAGGAAATGGCGGAAGACGTCGTTATGGATTACGGAGCCCGCGAATGCGCGCGCAAGTGGAATTCGACTTTTCTGACTGCGCGAAACGAGGGTTCAAAAGAACCTTGTCAGTGTGTGTGTGTGTGTATATATATATATATATATATATAACTGACTCCACGGAGCAGAGTCCTTCTTGAGAAAGTAGCAGTTGCTCAGGTGGTGAAGGAATCCTCCAACGTTTATGAAACCAAATCACAAATACGATCTCCACAAGGATATCTCTAATGCTGTTGTTAACAAATTCATTTTCGTAAGTGATTAAAAATAACAAAACAAATACAGTCAGCTATTAGCGATTAGAACGCTGGCCTTGTAATCCTGGGG